GAGGGGTGGGTGGTAAAGGCAGAGTTCAGGCGAGGTAAATCACAACTGCGAGCGCTCACGGTGTGTTTCTGGAGGTCGCTCTGTCCTTTAAACAAAGCAAGTAAAATAAAGAGGATCGAGCGCTCAGAATACTTTTTTTTTTTTTAAGACAGGCAAATAACATTCAACATACTTTGAGCAAATAAAAATCAGAGGCTTCATGTTACCACCAGCCCTATCTTAAAACTGGGCAGGTCCCAGGCAGAGGGACTGGCAGCCCTCGATACTGGTCCCGTCTCCTCGCACGTTTCTGCGGTGCCGACAGCCCTCGGTTACGCTTCTGCCAAATGCAGAACTAGTGTCCTAGGTTTGGTCGCTGGAGTCATCCGTATTCTCCTGTCACTTCGCTTGCAGTGATTTGTGCAAGGGGGGCTTTGTGGAGTTCGGAGCGATTGTTCCAGTCCAGCTGTGCAGTCTCGTTCGCTGTTCCTTTTGGTGTGGGAGGGAGGAGAGCCGGTTTTAACACACGCTTGGAGGTGATGTAACTGCATTCAATGAAGAACAATGGCCGGGTCTGGTAAAATTAGGTATTTGGTTAAAAAAAAAAAAAAAGGATGGAGAAATTCTGTGCCTTAATACAATTTTGCTAAAATCTTCAAAAAATTAATGAGACATTGGGACATTCTCGTTGCATCTACAGAGATGCCAGATGCCTCTAAAATGGCATTTGGAGCCCACTCTAGTTTATTTCTATTAGTGGATTGAATAAACAATTTCCATTTTGTCCATCTCATTTATTCTCTTAAATGGAAAAAAAACTTAGGCTGGTGTGTAGTCATGACACAGGATGGAAGATAAGGAACGGCTCATTTCTTCTCAGTTCTGTTACCAGTTGTCTCTGTGATCTTGGGTGGCTCACTTCATCTCTACTAGCTTAGTTCCTTCATCAATAAAGAGGAAACTGCAACATGTTCCAGCCACCTGAAGTTTTGGGATGCTGCAGAAAGGAGATGCTGCATACGCAACACAGACTGACTTGGTCTTGGTGGAGGGAATGCCTGGGATTCTTGTGCTTCACTTAAACAGTGCTTTTTAGTAAGATGGTGCTGGACTTTGAAAGCTTCTCCCCCCGCCCCGTATGCCTGTATATGCATTGGAAACAAGTGATTTGGGTTGTCGTCACACCTCAGCATCCACATTCTCTGTGCTTTTCACAGCTTGGGGACAGGAATGACCTTAGAGCTCCTGACATAATCAGCACTCTACCCGCTTACTAAAATCTGCTTGAGAATCAGATTTATCAACTATGAGGTGGAAACATTCAAAGGACCGTGACTGACTAGCTTACTGGGATCCCTGCTGGGGTCAGTCATGGCACCTAGGTGTACTAGAAAGATTAGATGGTGAGTAATGCTAACATTTCCTCTCATCCAGCTCAGGCTGGGCTACCTTGAAAAACCTTCTCCCCTATTTGACCATAGAGCTCTTTGCCCTCCAACTTACGCCCCATACACAGTACTTGTGTCCATCTCAGTAGGTACAGAAAGCTTTGGTGGATATGATGCAAGGAGAGAGGAGTGAGTCATGCTCAGAATGTTGAGCTGTAGGGTACCCAGCCTAGTCAAGCAGTTTTGGTGGTAATTCTGGTGTTCCCACATACGCACATCCCCTGGTAAAAAAATGTTCAGGCTCTGGGTAGGACTTGCACAATGGAGAAGTTCCCTGCCTTTATTCTCCCTCAGCACAGCAGAAAAACCTACAGTAATAATTAGAAAACAGACGAATAATTTGAAATCCTCACTCCACTGTGGTGCAGTCCCAGTGCCTCTAGCATGCCTGTTTGCTACCCTTTTCACCGATTATAATAGAGTAAATGCAAGAGGGAAAAAGAACCTCTCCATCCTTTTGAATCAATACCGGGAAAGATAATTCAGTGCTTCAGCCTTGTCTTGGTACTAAAGAGCCTTTCTTAATTTTTTTTTTCCCTGAGAGTAGGATGTAAAACTGATGCTGGTATCTATGAAACAATATCCCTGTTTTGTGTCCTTATTGAAATAGCTTCAAATTTCTCAGTCTTGCAAAATTTCCAGCACATTAATTTGGCCCAAATGATTTATAGCTGATGAGCAATTAAAGTATAATTTTTTTCAGCATCTCAGGCTTTGTGACTAGACTACTAAATGATTTCACAAGCTTGCTCTATCATTACAGGATAGCGGTGGGATGAATTCACAAGAGAAATTTATTCTTCCTTGCAGACCCAGCATCTGGTCTTACTGCAAATTGGAGCACTGCTTGCATTCCCCAGATAATTTTCTCAGCATATCTTTTGTACGGTCTGTCTTTGGACCTACATGAGAGCTTTACTCTGAATTTCAGTGACAGTTTACTCTGACATTACAAAGTCCTTCCAAAATACCTGTTCTGTCTGGAACCTTTGACGTAGACTGATGCATTACTTAGACCTGTCAAGGTATTTCAAAACTAGCAGCAAACAAAAATAAGGTGTTCTTTTTTTTCTGTGTTTGGAAGGGTAGCTCTCAGAGGCAAGTGTGGTGGATTAAAATCAGATGAAAGTACTGGCTACAAAGAATCCTCACCTCCAAATTGCTTAAATGTCATTAGGTGACATTTAGCTAACCATGTCTTGATTCTGCTATAATGGAGGTGGAAAGAGAACGAGAGTAACTTCGTGTACACACTTCACCTTTCAGGAAAGGACATGACAGGTATAGTTGTCAATGCTGCTTCATTTTGGGAGGAACAAATAGCATGGAAATGAGCAGAAAGGGAAGGCAAAAAAAAAAATCAAGAGATCCAGTTTTGACAGTGTAGCTCGGAGCTACTCTAGGCTATTCTGCTTGTAAGATCCCTGTGGGATTCCCCTCGATAAAAATAAGTAAAATGTGCACTGACCAGTACATGTGACACGATTCTCTTCACTACCACCTAGTGGGAAACTCCTTCATTAACTGAACTCCAGAGCTGCTCCGGCTCTCCAATCTCATCCTCACCCTGATGGCAGAAACAGCGAGTAAGTGAAGGGGGAACAGACGGATGACTGGGAAGAAGGACGCAGTCCTGTTTCCCTATACAGGAAGAGGAATGGGGAGAGAGAGACTGTAATTTAAGCCCATTGTGCCCTATGGCATTATCACACCATGTCTTCTAGCCCGCATCCAGGCCAGTTCTTAATGGTTGTTACACCTTAGCCTCAGTGTAACTGAGACTCCCAAAGCTTAAGAAATGTTGCCTTTGGAGGTAAAGAGTAAAACCTTGGTTCTTCTGGATGCAACTGAATCCATACAAACAGCGGTAAGGAGGCACTGGGAAGTTACACCAGTGTCTCAGTCAAAAGGTAGCCTTGCCCCCTTCTTGGCTCTGGAAGTTTAGGTTGTTCTGCTTCTGATTGTACTACTGAAAGTACGGAAGGAGGCACCAATCAAAAAAACAGCTTCCTTCTCTGTAAAATCACATTTTAGATTATAATCACATATTTACAACAAAGACTGCTAAATTAAAATGTAAATAGGTATGTATTTGGAACATGAAAACCATGTATTCAAGAGAGTCCTTTCCCACTGAGATACTCAGGGTTTGCAGAAATAGCTGAAATCCAACCCTACAAAAACAACATATAAATGACAATTATCTTCGATTTTTCACACTCCCGTGTGCCATTTGGGACTAAGCTCCCAATGCACAAATAATAATCAATTTTCGTACTTGCATAGCTTTCTTTTCCCCAACCACAGAAATAAGGGTGCACATTATAATAATAGCTCTCACATTTCAAGGAGGGGATGATGTTAATGTCATTCAGGCCAACAAATCATTTAGCAGTCTCAGCAGGAAGAACAGGAAAATGGTAAAGAATTATTAGAAGAACCATTTCTCTGTGTTTCTTTTGCCAATGGCAATTTTACCACCATATTCGGGGAACTATACAGGCTCCCTCTGCTAGCACTTTTATCATAAATATACTTGGGCTTTTTCCTTCTCTGTATGCCCCTTGAAGCCACATTACACTAGCTGTATCCCAGCAAATTACTGTATTTTTCATCACATACACTTAATAATGGATATAATTCAGTAAGTGAAAACATCAAAGGTAAAAATGGTGTTGATCCAAGAAGTCAGGCTTTGGGAGCCTATTCTGCCTTCCATTCTGTTCACAGGACTCTGCTGTCCATTACTTTGGTTTTGCCCTAGTATAATAAGCAGACTACAGACCAATAAGTCTACAATAAGAATGATGTTCCTATTGTATACCCATTTATACTCTCATGCAGTCATTCTTAAGTGTTAAGTAATCCACTTAATTACTAATTCAACTACTTTATTACATGTAGGGGAGAAGGGATTACACTGGAACAGTTAATCAAGGCAGACTATTATTTACCAATAAGATAGAATTCCATTAGAGTAACCCAAGACATCCTTGCCTGGAAGGATATGGGAGAATGCCAGGAACCCAGTTTTATAAGATAGCTGCGACACAGTGTTATCACCGTCTGCTACATCAGGAGAAGAAAATAATTTTTAAAAAGCCCTCATAGAAGTTGTATTTAAGTGTATGTAGGACGATGCAAAGTACTTGAACGTGTTTAAATAATCTTTATTAAACTTGCCATTAAAATAAAATGGAAAACAGACTTCTTGTGATTACTAATTGATATATTTCTCCAATCTGCATCCAAACTCATTTGTTAATGTAACAGTGTTCGAGAGCTTGCTATTAAGCTGACAAGTTTAGCGTTGTAAAGCTGCTTATGCCTTGTCAATGAAGCACTGAATTTGAGGGGTCTCAACCACCACATTAATTACACCTAAGTAAAAACAAGCAATTCTGCAGGGAAAAAAAATACAAAAACAGATACGGCAAACATGAGAAAAACAAGCAGGTGCCACTCAGTGTCTTCAAACTTCAAAAATTTCCCCTATCTATCACAATTACCAAGATCACATTAGTCGGGGTGACTTGAGAATCAAGTCATGACCCAGAAAATTGTTGCAATTAAGAAAATCAACATATACTAAGCACTGGTAATAGATGAAAATGGATATAGCAAAATCAAGACCTTTTCTTTCAAATATTCACCCTCAAGGCAAAATCCCTGAGTACAATTCAGTTACAGGAGAATGTTGTCTGGATTATGGCACTCCACAATTTAGCTCTTGCTCTACTACTAGGTCTATAATCTAGCTGGTTAAAGCTTTGCAGCTTCCACCCTTGAGCTCTGCTGTTCTTATTACCTCACCACTGAGTATCGAGGCACTGGCTAATTCACAACAGGAATCTCCTTCAGTCTGACCACTAGCAATTTATAACATTTAAGAAACACTGAAAAGCTCACCAGTTTTCCTGCACTGAAGAACCTGTAATACTTAATGGAGTGCTGAACCATTCACTAGCACAGTCCAGCAGGTTACAGTGATGTAAAGATAAAAGTGTGTAAGTTTACTTGTTGTTTTGTTAATTGTCCAGGCTCCTACGGTTTAAAATGGACAATTTAATAAACCAAGGGAAAAAGCCCTTCAGGATAAAGTGATAGAGAATACTTACCTCCTCCTCAGTATTTGAAAGGTTTCCATATTCAGCTAAGGATTCTTCACATGGCATCCAGTTGTAGCATTCAGTGAGGTCCTAACATACAAACAGATGTTCAGTTTGGTTTTTATAGACTTCAAAGTTCACTGGTTTCAAGACAGGCTGTTTTAAATGCCTCTGCAGCTGAAGGTCTTCAAGGCAAACAGAAGCAACAGCAACAGGACTTCTGGGTACATAAGGGATCCTTGAAACCATGCAATTTAGATAGATAATTTGTTGCTATGTTTTCTTCTTTTTGCAGTTTTCATTGACAAACATTGCTCTTCTTTGTCTAAACTTAACGGTCTATCTCCCCATGTATACAGACTTACAGAACAGAGATTGGACAATCTTTTAAACAAAGAACAATGGTAATATTTTCCATCTTGGTTTAGGTAAAAGAAATCACCATGCCAAAGAAAGACAGAAATAAGTAACGTGGTATGACAGAATCTCCTGTCACATATTGCAGGAACCCCACAATCTGTTGTCTCTGTTTGCAAAGTCATTGAATTATAAGGACATATCATGCAGAACTATAAGTCACAGTTGGATATTGTAATTGACAATTACTGTTATCAGCCAGTAATTTTGGTGTGTCTACTGGGGGGCGGATAAGGAAAACTGTAATAAAAAAATAAAATGCATGGAAATTGTATCAAAACATTGATAGGACAATGCCAATAAAGCTGACCATTCTTTCAATACTCTTTATTAGGAGTATGACAAAAAAAATTCTTTATAAACTAGAGATGTCTTTTTACATTAATGTTCACATGAAAATTTCTTACATTTAATGTTTTTACATGGACTCCAAATTGTTACTTCTTTTTAGCCACACAAAGAAAGTCTTCTGTATCCATCTGAGCTTTTTTAACTCACTGCAGGGAGGGGAGCTGGTACTTGGGGTGCAGACGCCATCTGAAATAAAAGCTAACAGTTAACAGCAGTCCTGGTTGAGATGGTCAGCCCAGCAGCCCGACTGCAGCTTGCTGTGCCTGGAGGGAGGAGGGGGTCCAACCTGCAGAGGAGCTCTGTCCTTCAGCTGCTGACTTAGCATGTTGTCGCAGGAGCCTGGAGAGCATGGCTAATGGTGCCCACAAAGGGAAAACAGGGGCCAAGGTCACTCTGCAGCATTGTCCTGGGACATTACCCAGTTTGGGGACAGTCCTACTAGGCTCCTCTTAGCTTAGGCTTGATGGGAGTGTATAAAGAGAGACAGGTAGCTGCCCCTAGAAAACCTCCACTGAGAATAGTTTTAAATCCTTCTTCGGTTGATCACACAAGGAATCATTTGCATGAAACACTCCTGCATCAAGTCCACATGTGCACATCAAGTTATTCCCTAATTTAGCCACTCAAAGTAGATAGATTCATTAATATATTTTCAGACCAGAAAAGACAATTTAGTCATAAGGACTCCCTGAGAACTGCGCTAAGCGACTCCAACCAGGCTAGCAAGCATGTTTTAAGAAGTCACCCAACAGGTGGGAGCAGAACCTTAGCACAGGGCTGGTATCAAGAAGGGATGGAGATAGATGATAAATGGGAGCCACAAGCCTACCCAGAGCACTCCTCAGGAGAAGCAGGGCAATTGATGATAGGGCAGGGACTTTCAGCATGAACCAACACCTAGGGCTATTCCTTTTCATATGCTTGAATCACAAGCTCAGTGGGGCAAGCCCTATAGTCCCCTGAATTATGTGGGTACACTACTCTTGCTCATCAATTAAGCAATAAACGTAGCAAGTTATAATGGAGGTACTAGTATTTGCATGTCAGGATACCCAGCAAGCCAAGGCCAGAAGTGAAAAAGTCATTTAACACTTGCTGCTCTGCCACAGAAGTCAGCTGGAGCTCCAGAACCTCCTGTGAGTCTTGGGAACATTTAAATAAACTCAGTGGCCACATTTCTCTGCTGCACAAAGGCTAGCGAAGCTGCCAGGCCAGCTTTCTCTCAGCCCAAAGCCTTTGGCAGGGGCTGAGACTGGCTGAACTTCACCACTGCCAGAGCTCTGAGTGGGCTCTGCGATCTTCCAACAGCAGCACCTTCTCCTGAACCATGCACAGCCAAACACACCTCTTCCTTTTGGGTACTCCACCTCCTTCCTTCTATAAAACTAACGGGGCCAGAAATAAGTCACACTTCATCCTCATTTTCCTAGTTTTCTTTCCATAGCTTCCTTTTCTTTTCCATGCTGCAGACCTCCTATTCCTTCATTTTACTCTCCTTCTCCCTTCTGCTTCCCTCCCTTTCCCCCTCCCCCTGCTTTCTCTCCCTCTGCACTTTGTGAACTGCTGCTGCGGTGCTGAAGTCCAAAGTTCAGTAACTTGCTAAGCACACAGATAGGTATGAACCTTGGAGAATTTACATTGCTCCAATGTAAACAGATAGCCAAGGGTCCCTTTATCAGCACTGGCTCAGGACAGTCGTGGGGGGTCTGAAGTGGCTCAATTTTGTATTTTGTTTTTTTTGGGGGGGCGTAAAGGCGGGAGACTGTGCTGTGCCCACTCTCCTGACAGTCGGGCGTGTTACCTCAGGAACATGGTGTAGGGAAGCTGGAAGCAGGATAACCTGAAATTCAAATCCAAGAGACACCAGCCTGAAGACCATGGTCTCAAAGCTGAGTCATCTTCAAGTGGAGCTGCTGGGAGCGCTGCTGGAGTCGGGGCTAACCAAGGAGACCCTGATCAAGGCGCTGAGCGAAGTGGAACCCTACGTGCTCCAGAGTGAAAGTCAGCGCGCTATCAATGCCCTCCAGACAGAGAAAGGGGAACCCTGTCCCGACATCCCCAACCTCCCCAACGGAATGGGGGAGTCCAGGTTATCAGAAGATGAAACCTCCGATGATGGGGAAGAATTTACCCCTCCAATAATGAAGGAGCTGGAAAACTTGAGCCCTGAGGAGGCTGCTCACCAGAAGACTGTGGTGGACAGACTATTACAGTAAGGACAGATTTGCTGCTCCTCTTTGCTGCTTTCTTGCACTCTTCCCTCTAAATCTCCTTTCCTTTCCCATTCCGCTCAGTGTCCCTGGTATTCACAGTTGATCCAGCTGCACAGAGACAGGCTTCAGCCATACCAGGACTAGCAGCCCCAAAACACTCCCCAAATTCTTTATAAATGCTCAAACTTTCCTTTCATCTCACATAAAATGCATGAAGGGAACCATGGAGCCTGATAACATATTTGAAGTGCTTATATTGCCAGGTTTCAGAACAGTCCGAGGCCTGTATAACTTGCATCTCTCTGACTGAATGTTGGATTTAATTTTTTAATAGGATTCACAGTTTCAGCCATCGGGGGGGGGGGGGAAACACCACCAAAAAATCTGGTCACTCTTAACTGGTGCTGCATTTGCCTGAGGATGTACGGTAAACTGAAGTTGTAATGTTTCCCTGCTATATTTAAGGTGATTAATATTGTTAATTTTACTGGGTTTTGGTATAGATTATTGGTCAAAGACAAACCCAGAGAACTTGTTCTTGTCATTCTTGTGAGTGCAAAGTTCTCCTGACTTCAGTGGGGATTTTTCTTGTAGAAAGAGCACACACCAAATACATGCAGAGGTTAAAACCTGGGCAGAACACTCCAGCCTACCATCCACTGTCTGTCACAAATACGAAGTACATATGCAGCAACAATTACAGGTTTTACTGCCACAAAAATTTGCCCTTGCATACAAGCATTCCTGAAACCAAAAGACAGGAAGAGTTCCCCAAACCAATAAGCCTCGTTACAGACTCAGAGAAACATTCACCAGGATTCCCATTTGGGATTCTTGCTGGGATACAATTGCCGTGGGCAACTTAAGAGGTTTGTCCAAGCAAGGATCAGGTCCATCCAACCTCTCTATCACAACAGAAGCAGAATCTTGCCCATCTGTTTTGGGGGTATTTTGAAATGACAAGCTGATAGAAGACAAAAAGATGCAGCAACATCCTGCACTGAAAATCTTCACTAAAACTAAAATCCATCTAGAGAATTTCTCAGGCTTTCTGATCGCTCCCTTTCATGTGCAAAGGAAATTAACATAAAACGTAACAACAAGAAGCAAACATCAAATCCCACCACAAAAGGACAGAGTTAGAAAAACAGCATTACAAAAGTTAGCATTCACTGTAAATACTTAGGAGAAGGAAGCTCCCTGGCAGATTGGGAGTTGATGACTCTGCAATACCCAACAGAGGAAAATTCACTGGATCAGCTCTTACCTGGGTGGGGAAAACATTCCCGATAATTCAGTCTTTTTTCTGGCCCAGTACTGTGTCTCATCTCTTCCCCACTTCCAGCTCTGTCACATCTTTTAGTCTCCTCTGTTCCCTTTACCTCTTTCCCAATCTTTTTACGTATTTCCCTTCTCTCCATACTTTTGTCTCTGCTGCTATTCCTCCCATTTTGTTGTCTTCTTGGCTAATTCTCTCTCTCCCTTCCACTCTTTTTCTTCCCCTCATCCTTGTCTCCTTCTCATCTTCCTGAGTCTGCGTACAGGTCTTGGGGTAGTTTGAGCCCAGTGGCACCGGGCGGGCCCTGGCTAGTTACTAATTATCCAATGGCTTTATTATTTCTCTTTTGTCTTATAAATTTATAGATGAAAAGACCCTGATAAGCTTTTTGATCATTAACTTCTGATGGTTTATCAGGTATCTCTCCACAAAAGAAGCCATGAAAGTTGAAGAGCAGCTGGCTTTGCCCCATTTTCTGTAATGAATGGGTGAAGCAGGGCTGAAGTGCCATCCGCTGTGATCTAAGAACAGACACAGAGATGGAGGGAATTCCTTCCTGCCATCCTCACTTCACAATGAATTCTGGTTTCTGATCCTCCCTGCCTTTCTAGGAGCTTGCTGCCAGTCTTTCCTGTGCTTACTACCAGCCTCAGCACAACAGTCTTAGACCTCTCTTGCAAACCTGTGATATTAATGCTTTCCAATGAACAGTCTCACATATCTCTCTAGACAGTCAGTTGAGTAGCATTCCCATTTTACAAACGGGAACTGAGGTACAGACAGATTCTATGACCTACCTAAAACCCTAAGATAGCGCAAAGAGGTCTGGGCAAGAACAAGGATTTCCTAAGCCTCATACTGGGTCTTAATTGCAAAGCTTTATTCTGAAACATCAGAGTTTTCTTTCATCAGTCCCCTGTATCACAGGATAGAGCAATTCACTTCTGCTGTTGAGGACAGTATGAGGGGACCAGAAGCCTCAGTTTCAGCAAAAAATTACAAGTATACTTATGGAGGAATAGAATAGATCAAAATTAGTCACAGTAAAATGAAAATAGTAGGAAGTCTGTATTGAGATGTTTCAAATTTCTGGTCAAAAATTAAAAAAAGCAACTGTATGTCTGAGAATGTATTCAAAGCACCTGAACCAGTATCAGGGTTTGATAATATGTAAGCATTTGTTACCTACTAATAAATTTCTTTTGTTCTTAAGAACAAACCTTTCCACTAATAGAGGCCTAAAGGTAATGTCCTTAAAATAGTATTGTAAGTATTGTAAGATGGGGCAGAACAGTCTATAATAGAAATTACTTCCAACAATAGATAAAAGGCAGGCAGGCAGGCCAGAATCTCCATGCCCAGGGATTCCGAGTAAAACTTCGATGCTTGCAAAGCTATTTCAGCATCTACACAAAGATTTCAAATCCAGAAACCAGATGGAGGCACTTCTGCCTTTAGGCAGAAGCCTCTTTGGGCATTATTAACAACTCCTAGTCTCATGTTGTAGACCACATTCTAACAGAGAGATTTACCTGTGGGCAGCTATTACTGATACAAGAAACTCTTTGTGGTAACTGCAGCCATTGCTTATAAGTAGAATCAGGAAAGTGTCTGTTGCTAGGCTTTCCAGGAGCTGGAAAGGAAAAAAATCGTAGCACCAAGAGACCAAGTATGTCCTCACAGTTTGGAAAGCACTAGTCAAAGCTGAGTAAAACAGGATGTAGAGAAGATACACCCACATGACTGGGTGCACCTGTGAGTATTGATTAGATTTTGTCCCTACAGAAAAAAATGCTAAAGACAGTTCAGACAAAGGTTTCTCTAGTAAGGAATTAACATAATTTCATTTTGTCCTTTAACTCATCTCACTGATCTTCCATAGATTTACAGTTTGAATAAAAACATACTTTCCATATCACTCCACACAGAAAACAAATTGCATCTACGATAAAGAATAAATAAGTCAGTTGGGAGACAGAGCTGTGTGGAGTAATTCCCAGATACTCCCCAGAGTAGAAAGAAGAAGAGAGGCTACCTTGGGGGAAGGGACAGATCATACTACTGCAGATACAGCAAATGGAGTGAGGTACAGCAACAATTCACCTGTAGGGCAAGGGGTGAAATTCCATTAGAAAGAGAGAAATTGAGATAAGCAACAGATTTCCCCTGGAGGCAGGGATAAAAGCGTATTTTCCATGAGGAAAAAAGAAAATAAAGATATGTAATGATAAAGGTTCGGTCTGTTCCCCATGTAAGCAGTGTCTTAGCATGGCTGTAGCTGGGGAATCTGGAGATGAAGCTGCCACACCCCTTTCATTTCCACATATAAGCCAAGATGAGGCAAACCAGGCCAAGTTCAATAGAAAGGAACCCTGCCGGGATGGTCTTACCTTCCCTGCTCTCTGCCTAGCCCGGCTCCAGGCTGTGCAACTGACATCAGTGAGGGTTGTCTAGCAGCTCCAGAAGAAAGGGCCAGAAGATGGTCCTGAGTACTTCACAGCTCTGAACCTCTGTTTAAGCAAGGTCTGGTCCAAAGCAGCAATTCAGAACCCACCTGAAGGAAATGAAGGCTCCTCTTGCCTGAGAACAAGAAAGAAGGAGAGACAGACAGAATGAGGAAGAGGAGGGGAAAGAAGGGAACAAAAGAAAGAGAAAAGTCAGGAAGAGTGAAGGAGGGAGAAGGTCCCCGAATGTTACATCTCCAGCTCTCTGGTATGGGTTTTCTTTAATGCTAACAACTTGATATTTACTTTCCATTTAAATTTGAGATGTTGCTATAAATTATCAACCAGCCTCTTGTCCCTTTGAGTTTATAACTAACTACCTGGGTTACTTATTGTTCAGGTAACAAAAGGGAGGTGAAAACGCCCTTAAAAAGTGACCTCAGAACTAAGAAAATGGGAAGCTTGCATGGAGAGGGGACCCAGGCCCCTGTGGTTGAGATGAGCCACAGAAAGGGGCTATGCTCAGATGGCAAGAAGCAACTGACAGCAGGAGAGCAAGACTTGAGAAGAAGGAAGTAGAACTAACTGTGTGAGAAGAATTTGGAGACAGAGATTAGACCCTGGAGGACAAGAGAGGAATGGGGAGACAGCTTGCATCTGGGGAGGAAGGGAAGCTAAAAAGCAGGAAACAGGCTTGGAAATAGAGAAGGAGAGCTTGACTAAGGCAGACCCATTTCTGCAATTCTGACTCACTGAAGCAATTGAGATTTTAGTGCAACTACAACCAGAAGAACTAGGTTTAGGGTGAAATCCAGCCCTCTAACAGTCAATGACATTCTTACTGCCAGTGAAAGAGTGAAGGTTTCAACTTACGATGTCTTAGTCAATGGTGAAGGCTCTGCAGGTGGAACTATGTGTTTGGGCAATGGTTCATGGAAGGGTTCAGCTGACCAACTGCCATCACTTGTTCTGTGATGTAGCCTTGAGCCGAAAGGAATTGCTGCATTGATATTACAGCCTGTGCTTTGACAATGTACAGAGTAGGTAGGATTTCATACAACTGTCCTATGAAATCATACTGTACTAAGATTCCCCTGCACTGTTTTGCCTCACTAAGCTCCCTGCTTTGTCTCAAAAGAAGACAGAAAAACCACAGGGCTTTAACCACTGTGAGAACAGACTCATTGATACCTCCTGCTTTATTCCTACTACAAAGTGACAATCTCAACAGGGGAGACAAAAGTGATTCATGATTAGGGCACAGGAAGGAAATCAACAAGTAACAGAGGTTTCCATCAGTGATAATGTAGTCCTTCCTCTTCCCATCTGACCCAGAACTCAAATCTAAGAGACCAGAGGTTCCAAGTCTGATCCTTTTCTCCTTTGTATAGGAACTTGTGTAATGAATTCAGGGTACAGGTGCTGGATAGACTATCACAAATACAAAGGGAGGAGATTGGTCCTTGGTTTGGACAGCAGGAGAAGAAAAAAGAAAAACAACACACTGAGGAAAGAAAAGCTTTTGTAAATTCAGCCCAGTTTGAGGCTTTTGAAAGACAAAGATGGTTAAGGGAAGAAGCTAGAAAATAGAAGCCTCTATAGCAAGCATCCCATCATAAAAGAGAAACAAATGTTCCTATTTTAAGAAAGCAGGTTCTTCAGAAAGCTGTAACTGACACTGTGTCACACTTTAACTGCAGCAGAGCTTGCTCCTTGACTACCTAGCCACTGGGAGAGAGGCTGCAGGGGAACAGAGATAAGGGTGTTTGTACTGAGAGAACAGGTGTGGACTTTGTCCTCTTTATCACTTTGCAACCTCCAGAGTCAACAAAGCAATGAACAGTACAGTTGTTGCCTGTTGCTCAGACCTGTATGTTCTTGTGACGGTTTCTGCACAATCCTAGGTACTTTTTTCCCCCTGTTGCTCCTTTGATGCTGGTGTTGGATGTGACACCAGTGCCTTTCTACAGCATGCAAACCATTTCCACCAGATGTTTCATATAGAAAGCACAGAAGGATGCTCTTTGTTAAAAGTAAATCAGAGGCTTTTCTATAGAGAGGCTCCTGCACTGTTTGGATCTAGACTGCCTGGTTTCACATCTTTATTTTTACTGTGATTTTCAGCTCTGGTAAAATCAATACCCACAACAAAGTCACAGTCATGTTTTCTCTATTTTCCTCAGGAACCTTCATGGATATTCTAATCGGAGATCCTAAAAGCCAGAGATTTGCATTCATTATGAAATCCCAAATCAGATTAGCTTCTCAAGTTTTGTGAGTAGGTCTCAAATTGGTCTATTCCCTCAGCTGTTATTCCAAAGGAGGGTTGCAATAGGAGGAATTAGTCATTTGCCTATTGTTCTTTATGGGGCTTAGAAGCTTTGAGTGTATCTAGACATGAATCAGTGTTTGACTAACATGTAGCAGATGTGCAAGAACATAATCCTGGATGGCTTGGTGTACACATATGCATATACAGCAGTTATGTCACAGTATAATTAAAGCCTGTTTTCATTTCCTGAATCACTGCAAGGCAACCCAACCTGGACCAGAATCAGGGCATGAGTGAGGTTCAGCCTAATAGCACAATGAATCTGTCTTGGAGAATTAAGTACACCTACTCAAAGCACCTATGCCTTAAAGAAAGGGGGTTAGAGAAGAAAAGTTATGTAGGGAAAGGGAAGAGAGAGGCCAATGCTGAAAAAAAAAAAAAAGAGATCTGTAGTCATGTAACACCCAACTGAATACTGAAATGCAACATCACTTCCCTCCTCATACCATTTCTCACTAGCAGCAAAAATGCTTTATATTCACATTACTTTCCAGCAGAAAGGGCCATTCTTTGCTCACGCCACTGGTCAGCACTTTCCATCATTTACAGATGACAACTGCCTAGACAGAACAGCCCAAAACCTTGCATACAAATGAGCACAGACAGCAAAGACTCTGGCTACGTATTGGGAAATTCCTTTGATAACCAAAGAGTCCCCTTCTAAGGGCAGATGAAAGTGCCTACAGAGAACAGTTTAAAGGAAGCTAGTGCTACCTCTTTTGCACTTCATTTCTAATACCATGCAGTTTTTACCCTGCATTCAGGGTCAAAAATGAACAAGGTACCACGCCGAGGAACAGCCTTCCCTTATGGACCCAGTTACCACTCCAGGCTCACCAAACACAATGGTGATGACTTGCATGCAAGGTGCACCTCAGGAGGTACTAGTGCACTGCCTTGTAATCCAGGTCTGCTGAGTGCAGGTGTTGGATCTCTCTCTCCTGAGAAGTGTTTTCTGCTCCTTCCAGAGAGGATCCCTGGCGAGTAGCAAAGATGGTGAAATCCTACCTCCAGCAGCACAACATCCCTCAGCGTGAGGTGGTGGACACTACTGGTCTGAACCAATCTCACCTCTCGCAACATCTCAACAAGGGCACTCCCATGAAGACCCAAAAAAGGGCAGCCCTCTACACCTGGTATGTCCGCAAGCAGCGAGAGGTGGCCCAGCGTAAGTATGGCAACAACTGTTCTCCTGTCCCAATTTCATAAAGGTCTCTGCTCTCCCTTGCTAATCCTTACTCCCTATTTTTATCAAAGAAAAATGGAAGGAGAAGCCACTTTTAGCAGGAAGCATAGAGAAGTCTAGGTCAGTATTCAGTGGTGAGGTGAACCAAACAGTACATGGAAAAACACTCCCTCATGAAGCAGCCTGCAGCCACCCACCCCACCCTCCGTTTGGCTGAAGAGAAGCAAATACTCTACATTTGCAATTACAGTTCTACACCCATCATCAGACTAAAGCAGTATAGCAGACAGATGACAGAGACAGAATTTCTGCCCAAGAACTATGCTTTTGCAATTTCAGCTAAAGCAACAGTTCGTCTAGCTGCAAAAAGCAGCATGCTGCTCTACTCACTGTGAAAAACCACTGTGGGCTATCACTTTATGCCTTCTAAGGCCCTTCATTACAGGCACCCACTGGGAACTCATCCCTGCAGAATCACTTCTACATTCATGATGCCATCTGGAATCTGTCTTTCTTAATTTTGTATTGGTGGGTTGCAAGTAAAATGAGACATTTGGCCTTTAGATGGTTTTGGAAAGCAGGACTCCAATCACGCCTACTCTAAACTCAGCTGCATTTGCTTTCACTACTCCAAGGTTGGAGCAGAGGTGCAATGCATGCAAGAGAAAGGACAGGTAAATATGGTCCTGCTAGGAACATCTTATCAGTTTTAGCAGGTTATAGAACTTTATTTCCACCCCATTTAGATTCAGCCCTCTGTCTTGTATGAGATATTCTCCAAGGGTAAGCTGCATTGGGCCTGCTAGGCACCCAAATAGACAGAACTATTGGAAATGCTTCCAGAAAGCAAATTCCCTTGCCTCTTTGTGCCTGCAGAATTCACACACGCTGGCCAGGGTATCCTGACAGAGGAGCCCATGGGAGATGACCTGCCCACCAAGAAGGGAAGAAGAAACCGCTTTAAATGGGGTCCTGCCTCACAACAGATCTTGTTCCAAGCCTATGAGAGACAGAAAAACCCCAGCAAAGAAGAGAGAGAGGCACTGGTGGAAGAGTGCAACAGGTAAAGATGGGTGTCTGAGGAAGAGGGGCACAGCAGGGCCACTCTGTGTTCTTGGGGTTTGCTAGCACCTATGAGAGGCAGGCTAACAGTGCAGCAGTGGATGTCACCACTGACACCAGCCACATTTGAATGAAATGCCACAACTGTCCACAAAGGATCAGTAATGCCTTGTGTCTTGCTATACCTGGCAGGATCCTTCCACACAGTGTGCCAGACGACAGCTGCTTTGAGGCTGCACACTTACTCTGTGTCTCTGACTAAGCCTGGCTCAGCAAAGCTCTTCTTGTGCTCTCCCCCAACAGAGCAGAGTGTATTCAGAGAGGTGTCTCCCCATCTCAGGCCCAGGGACTGGGCTCAAACCTGGTGACAGAGGTCAGAGTTTACAACTGGTTTGCCAATCGCAGGAAGGAGGAGGCTTTCCGGCACAAGCTGGCCATGGACACCTTCAGCGGACCGCAACCCACCTCTGCTCCCCCTCTAACTCCTCACAACTCTTCTTCCCTCCAGCCACCATCTGCTCTCTCACCCAGCAAAGTTCACGGTAAGGAGCAACCA